TAACCCTAGACATAGAGCAAAAGCCTATAGGACATTAATGTTGCATGCTTTTTTATCTAAGTTTAAATTAGCCATACATATACATATACATCTTTAATTGATTGATCGATCTCTTAAAGTACCTTTAAAAGGGATGAATAGGTGTTGAACGTGGCTCATGGTGTAAAGTGTCGAATAGGATGATCTATATAGTGTACGCGAGATAGTGTTCAAGCTTAGAACAGCTTGCAATCAAAGTGAACGCAATTTTATGGGCAAAAGTTGTTTGAATTCTTCCTTAATTTTGTTTGTAGTTTCATCCCAATACCTTTCCTTTCTTGTTTCTTTTCTTATTTTAGTTATTTCATTGCTTTTTCTTTCCTTTACAAGAAATAATGACTCCATCACTCTATATTGGTTATTTTGGTGGGTTGCAAAGGTATTTCTTAGGATTTGTCGAACTATGTTGAGGATCGTTAGGATGGAGTCCTATATTGGCTAATTAAGGGGAAGATCGCGGGTTTATAAGTAAGAAATACTATCTCCATCGGTATGAAGCTCTTTGGGGAAACAAAAAAAGCCATGAAAGCTTATGCTTAAAGTGGATAATATCATACTATTGTGGAGGTTCATGATTCCTAACATGGTATTAGAGTTATACCTTTAACTTAGTCATGTCATCCTCAAGTTTCGAACAAAGAGTATACTTTATTTAAAGGCTCCACAAAAAGGAGTTGACCTTGATTAAGGGGAAAGTTGTTTGAAGGCTCCATAGGTCTCAGGGGAAGTTAGCCTGTAAAGTGTAGTTAAAAGTGACTCAAGTGTTGTACAAATGGTGTACTTTGTTCGAGGGCTCCATAAAAAGGAGTAGAGTCTTGATTAAAGGGAGGTTGTTTGAGAACTTCATAGGCCTCAAGGGAAGCTAGCCTCGAACAAATGGTATACTTTGTTTCAGGGCTCCAGGAAAAGGAGTCGAACCTTGATTAAGGGGAGACTATTCGAGATCTCCATAGACCTAAGGGGAGTCTCTATGGTATACTTTGTTCGAGGGAAAGATAAATATCAAGCACTTTAACAAACCTTTCTCTCTATCTCTCTTGGCATCCATGCCTAAGATCTATTTTCAAAGTACCTAAATCTCTTATTTCGAACTCAATACTCAACTATCTCTTGAGTTCACAAACGACACCAACATCGAGTGAACTACAATTCAATCTTCAAGCTTCCTATCATCGACTAGTTTCTCAGTAGTTCCATTAGTGAAACCGGACTTTTCGAACTTTCCTCGCCCACTCGTTGGAATCTTACCATAAAGTTATAATGGAGTAATCACATTCCCTCGTTCATCACTAGACCATAGATGATAAATCATGTGAATTTTTTTATTGATTAGTTGACCATTAAAAAAAAAAAAAAAGTCACATAAAATTTAGGTTTTGGGTGGGTTATTCATATGACTTGAAAATTTGACAAATTCATATTAACCAACTCAAAGAATCACAAAAAAATTTAGGTTTGTGTTATGGGTGTTCATATGACTTAGAATCCAACCAACTCAGACTATCCAACCCAAACTATAAAAGTTGGGTTGAGTTATATCGAATTTTTAGAAAATCGATAATTTGGGTCAATTCGTGTGTTGACATTTTTTTTTCTCAGCTCTAACCCGACAGCTCTACCTTACTTTTAAGATTATTATGAAAATATCTTTCCATGTATCACGTCTCAATTCCTATTGATGAAAATATTACTCGAGTTGTTTTTGAAATTCTTGGCTTCTAAATAGGGTGAAATTATTCATCTAACCCAAATAAATTCGTGTTTCAAGAAATTATAATAGGGAGTCCAAACTCAATTCAGTCGTTTAACTTATCCACCCAAAGATTCTTTGAATCTACCAAAGCTAGGCAGATAGATGGACTCCTTCCCCGCTGGAGGAGAACATCATGAATATATAAGTAGTACTATTTTCCTTGGTATGAAATCTTTTTGGGAAAACCAAAATCAAAACTACGAAGCTTTACATTAAAAGGGGACAAATCATAGAATTGTGAAGATCCGTTGTTCCTAACAAATGGTATTACTATCATACCCTTAACTTAGTCATATCAATAGAACCTCGAGTGTCAAAAAAATGTAAGCCTCAAAGGTATGCTGAGGATGGTTGGAAAGGAGTCCCACATTGCCTAATTTAGTGAATGATCATGTGTCCATAAGTAAGGAATACATGTTCATTGGTACGAGACCTTTTGTGGAAGCTCAGAGTAAAGCCATGAGAGCTTATGCTCAAAGTGGACAATATCATGTCATTGAGAAGAGCTGTGATTCCTAACATAGTATTAGAGTCATGCTCTTAACTTGGCCATATCAATAAAATCCTCAAGTATCGAACAAACAAATTGTGAACCTCAAAAGTGTCGAATAAAGGGTGTACTTTGTTCGAGGACTCTAGAGAAGTTCGAGGACTCTAGAGAAGAAGTCGAGCCTCGATTAAGGGGAAGTCTAAAGTAAAGCCATGAGAGCTTATGTTCAAAGTGAAAAATATTATACCATTGTCCGTACAAACACACCGAGAGGTCTATCGTCCCTAGCTAGTTGTCTTTTCACTTATAAAAAAAGGGTTTGAAGTGTGTATTAGACTGATGTCTCCCTTGTTATGGTTTATCCTCATGTTGGTACTTGCCATAGGACTTGAGAATTGAGCTTTAATAAACAAAAAGGATCGGATGCTGATTTATTAATCACTCTAAAAAAGATTATGAATGTTCATTCCAAAACAACATGTGATTTGATTGCTCACTTGGGTTTTAAGATTCTTTGAGTTTTATATGAACAATTTTTGTTGCTTTTTTGTTTTTGGGCATTATTATATTCATCTTCTTCTGAATCTTGAACCAAAGTGCTAAATAGTTTAAAATTGTGTGTCAAAGTGCTAAAGTTGACACTTTTTGCATCTTTCATTCACATGAGTTGATAGTTCATCAAAGTGGGTATGGCTGCTCTTTGGTTTCTTATGTCACAATTCTAACTAAAAATATAATTCTAAAATATAACTCTAAAATTTCTTGAGTTTACACGGTGATTCATCATGAATCTGAACATAACTAAATTTGATGTAAGTACGTATCTTAAGAATCAAAGTGTGAGAATCCACGTCAGTTCGGGAGGAGAACACAGCATTCTTTATAATGATGTGGAAATCTCAACCTAGTATATACATTTTAAAAACGTTGAGGAAAAGCTAGAAAGAAAAAGTAAAAAAAAAGACAATATCGACTAAAAGTGGGATTGGATCGTTACAAATAGTATCAATGTCAGGCATCGGACCAAGGGAGGTGAGCTCCAAAAGCACAATTGCGAATATTAAATTTATATCTTATTTGCTTTATTTAAACATTTTGGCTCAAGTGTTATCACAACTAGTTAATGATTAACCGTTTGTCTTTTCCATCTACAATGAAGTGACCTATACTTAATGAATAAAAATTGATTAGTTAATTAATTTTATCATTGGAGCGTATAACTTGTATTCATGTAAAATTCTCTTCCTAGTTTAACGTTAAAAGATTCAATCGAGTGGCAAGAAAAAGGTTAGATTAATAAAAAAATACCCCTAAAAAAAGTGGGGTTTAAGCCAAAGAAGGATAGGGTTCTCTGATACAAAGTAAGGGTTGAATTCGTGGAGATCTACGAGTTGCTCGGAGTGAAGAATCTTTACCAAAGTCAGGCTTATAAGATAGCGTGGGTTTGTCCATTTTAAACGACGTGGAAAAAATTTGTGGACTCTTCTCAAGTTTTGACTGCAAATTGCCTTTGACAAGCACTCACAGATAGGAGTTCATAACTCACTCAGGATTAAGACCGAGTCGCATATGATCATCAGGTGAAATATTAATCTTCTCAATTAACGGATTTATAAAGAGTGATTAAATAATTCTTGGTCTAGTCTTATACAAACTCATTGTATAGGATACCTCCACTTACCTGTCTCCACATGAACGATTTGGATCAAAACATTTGTAACGATTACAAAGTAGGTCATATCATTAGTGTTACCGGGATGAGACACCCAACCTCATCCATATACTATAGTAAACCCTTTAGGTTATTATTTGAACATGATCCTCTTGTATGTCAACCACATAGGGTTCAAGATTAAATTAATAACATTGGATTTTCATACCATAGATAACAATTAAATTACAAATAAAATAATAAAAATTATTGTAAAAAACTAAATAATTAATTACGAGGCTTTTGGACATAAATTTCAACCATTTCTTCACTGATGTGGATATGTAAATGTACATAATCAAAGAATAGAAGAGTAGTCCACCCTAGTGACGGGACTTCTTGTTCAACATATGTACCATGTAAAAAAAATAGTGAACTACTTTCTCCATACTTAGAGTGCATCCATGAGTAGCTAAAGTACGGCTCAGAATTTTTAGGCACCCTAGATACTTAGTTAGCAGTAGAGACTAGGCCCGAACCCCAGAGTCAAGAGTAAAACCCGTGGATACTTATTAGGTTAACAATGCAATGAGAATCTACAAGTAGGTTTTTGATTGCGTATTTTTATCCTCTTCTCTTTCCTCTTTCTTTTTCAGGTGTACGCAAGCTACCGATCGAGGTGGAAGAGCATTCGAGAGCTAAGCGGTCACAAAAGGGTTGTTCCAAAGCATCAATTTATTTTTATATTTTGTGTCTTTTATTTTAATTTGTAAATATATCTCAAACCCGTTTTTCCGTATGTAATAAATTTGAACAACACCGTTTTATAATTAGATTTTATTTTGTATTTAACTGTGACGTTGTTTTTTTATTTCTATTTCCATTCAAATTTTATCAAATTTTCATCTTTTATTTTTATTTTTATTTAATTCTCTCTTTTTTTTTATAATTTTAGTCCCAATTCAAGATTCAAAATCTCGAAAATCGAGTCATGATAAGTAAAGCACATGTACCCCTAGGCCTAGCTCATTGGGCTAGCACTCACTAACAGGCCTATCGGACGCTAGGGAGGTAAAGGGCCTTCATAACATCAAGGTAAACATAAATGTCGTAAGGTACGGATCTATACTTATCATAATGGGAAAGTATCTTGATGCATTGACACAAAAATGCATGAGGTCCCCATAGCATAAAACCATGACATAAATTTATGATGCAAGTCAAACCTCCATTCATTTATAGCCTAACAAGTCTATGAATCATGCATACATAATTCCTGTCAAATTTTTCGTACATAACACAGCTTACATGGTGTGGTGTATGGAGGTTGTGAATTATAGATTATCAAACTCATAACATGATTCTACAACATGGCATAATCACTTTGTAACATAGCTTATAAACATGACATAACACCACATCGCATAACATGGTATAGCATAGTATAACATGGCACAACACAAAATAAAAATCATGAGTACGACAGGTTCAAGGATCACAGGGCATGCATTATTATACATCATATAATTCATCCAACCAAACAAATAGTAGAGCCACTTACTTGATTGGCCTAAGCTGAAGTCACTACATATTTCTATAGCTAGCTTGAATCTATTCCTCAAAGTTTGATTCAACTTAAGTGGACCCATGACAACGTATTAAGACATATTAACAAACTTAAATAACATAAATGAATCAAATAATTTTTAAATAGAGCAAATAGGGATCGAGCCAACTACGAATCAAGGGAAGCCGCGCACAAAGATCTGAGTCGCGGTCTGAGGAGGCTTGGACATGCATGCAGTGTCACTTTCATGCTTGTCCAAAGACTGTTGCATGTGGCCGCGTGTTGGATGTCTGGGTCATGCTTGTCTAAGATGTGTTGTCCATGGCTACATGTTCGTTCCAAATCCCTTGTACTTGCTTTCATGTTAGATAGGCCTTTACTATTCTCGTTGTGTCAATACGGGGTGTCAGTTGTCAACATCATGTCTACACCCACAAGGGCTAAAATGTACTATAGGGAGATGTGACTAATTATCAATTTTTCTTACTGGGGTTACAGGCTGTCAAAGTCATAGTTGTTGCTTATTCGCTTTTAACCTATAACATTGTTTTCTTTTAAATTGTTTTTAATGTATTTCTTCACTCACATTTTCTAAATATACTTCTCTAAAACATGACTCGAGGCTCGAGCATACGTCAATATTATATGAACTTTGAATCTTACATGGTTGACTTGTTTGGTGGAATAGAACAAGTATCGCACAGTCGTTGTCCCGCTACCACAAGAGTGCGATTGTGACATGCACTACGTGAGGGAGCTCAAGAAGGAGCGTGGGTCGCAGGTCGAGGCAACGTGCAGGTCGTGGGTCACTGGCAGGTCGAAGCACAGGTCTCGGGTTGTTTGGCGATTCGGCTAACCATCGCGTATTAGGTTGGGCCAAACTCTATCTCTAGGCCGAAGCTACGACGAGATCTGAGGCACGAGCCTCTGTGGGCCACACACTTGGGTATTGGATCCGATCCGGACTCGAATTCGACTCGATTCCAACGATGACCCATAGGTGTTTTCTTCTTCGCGCGACTCCATGTGTCTTGAGTTTCCTTCTCCTTTTCCTTTCTCGTCTTCTCACGTTCTCCGCTTGCTCTCCTCAATTAACCTTCTTGTTGCTTGGGATGGTAAGAGCTCAACACACAAGATTTGAACAAAAAATAAAAAACTATAAATTTTTTCCTTCAACCCATGACTAAAACAGACTCAAAGAACGAGGGCTTACCAACGTGTGCTGGAAATCTAGTGATTTGTGTTAGGAATCAGAACTCTCCACAATAGTATGATATTGTCCACCTTGAGCTTAAACTATCATGGAGATAGTATTCATTGCTTCTAAACCCATTATCATTTTTGGGACTCCCTCCCAACAATTTCTCTCCCTTTCTTACTAAATCCTTCTACTTTTTAGTGTTTTTGGTAACCTATGAATGTTGATGCTTCATATTTTTCTTTGCATTTGGGAGACTTAGTATGTTGCTGGGGAATGTTCCCATGGGACATTCCTTAGTTCTTTTGCCACTTGTTGTTGTCTTCAAAAATGTAATCTAAATGTGCAATATTGTTCTCGTAATGATTAGTGTCTATATTATTATCTATACGCATTAGAACGACATTAATACCTATTTTAGACTTAATCTTCATTCCTATCTATAAGGATGTGCATACTTAATGTGTTAGGATTGCACAACAATGCATACACTTGATCAATACAAAAAAAAGAGACTCATCAAGATGAACACAAAAAAGAGGAGAGAGAAAATTCGAGGAATTTGACTAAAGGTTTTATTGATGACTAAAGGAGAATTCGAGAATAAAGACAACGAAGAAAAGTAATCTTCAAATCAATTTTTTACAAAAGCCTCCGTTTAAAATTGTTATTTTTGTATCAATCCAGAGATAACTCAATCGATAAGTGTGAGATCCCACATCATTTGGGGAGGAGAATGAAATATTCGTGTGTGGAAACCTTTCCCTAGCGTACGCGTTTTAAAAACTTTGAGGAGAAGCTCAAAGGAGGAAAGCTCAAAGAGAAAAATATCTATTAGTTGTGGGCTTGGGTAGTTATAAATGGTATTAGAGTTAGACATGTGGCAATGTTTTAGCAAGGAGGTTAAGCCGTGAAGGGGTAGACATGAGGCGGCGTGCCAATAAGGATGTTGGGTAGACATGAGGTGGTATGCCAACAAGGATGCTAGGCCCCAGAGTAGGGTGGATTGTGAGAACCCAAATCGATTGGGGGAGAAGAACTAAGCATTCTTTATAGGGGTGTGAAACCTCTCCCTACCAGAGAATAACCAAGCATTCTTTACAAGGGTGTGAAACTTCTCCCTACGAGAGAAGAACTAAGCATTCTTTACGGGGTGTGGAAACTTCTCCCTACTAGTATTTTAAAAACCTTGAGGGCAAGCTCAAAAAAGAAAAGCCCAAAGAGGAAAATATTGGCTAACAGTGGGCTTGGGCTATTATAAATGGTATCAGAGGCAAACATCAGACGATGTGCCAGCTCGAAGAGGAAAAACCTTGAGGGGAAGCTCGAAAAGGAAAGCCCAAAGAGGAGAATATCGGCTAGCGGTGTGCTTGGACCATTACAAATGGTATCAGAGCCAGACACCAGGTGATGTGTTAGCTCGAAAAGGAAAAATCTTGAGGGAAAGCTCGAAAAGGAGAATATCGGCTGGAGAAAGCCCAAAGAGGAGCATATCGACTACCGGTGGGCTTGAGCTATTACAAATGGTATCAAAGCCAAATACTAGGCGCTGTGCCAACGAGGAGGTTAAGCCCAAAGATGTGGACACGAGTCAGTGTACCAGTAAAGACATTAGGCCTCGAAAAATAGGTGAATTGTGAGATACTCGGAAGCTCAAATCGTTACAATATGCATCAATTATTGTCTTAAAGAGATAAAAAATGAGTAATTTTCTCAAATGGAGGGGGCTTTTTCCCGAAAAAAGAAACTAAATTTAGAGGAAAAGTACTCTGAATTGCAGAAAGTAAAGCAAACCCATTCTAAAATAGATCAGAGAAAGATAAATTTGTATTGAACGTCGCCATCTACTCAGAATTCAAGTGCTTAGTGGCAACCACGAAGCTGCACCATGCTCATCAATGTCACTACAAGACATGTTCTTCAATCTTTACTTCAAAGCAACCCTCATTTTCTCCTTTTTGGATCATATTGCGAAATGGGTTCTCTGTTTTCATCTTCCTTCTTCCTCCTGCTTCTGCAATTTTTTCTGAATTTGACCCATTGTTCATCTCATGAAGCGTTAGAGTTCATATCCGCCATTGGAGACCCTGGAATGAAGAACCCAAATGTTAGAGTTGCTTTTGAGGCATGGAACTTTTGTAATGAAGTGGGAGCTGAAGCTCCTCAAATGGGTAGCCCTCGATTGGCTGATTGTGCTGATTTGCGCGCCCCGCTTGCTTCTGGTATGCAATTCTTCTGAGCTATGTGCCTCACTTGCTTGTGTTTGTTAGGTATGATATCGTCCATTTTGAGCATAATCTCTCGTGGTGTTGGTTTGGGCTTCCGATAGTATTTCTTGAGTAGAAACCCATGATCATTCCTTAAATTAGCCGACGTGGGACTTTCATCCAACGAAAAATTGAGGAATGTATTTGATTCTCTTATGAATTCCTGCATTCTGACTGTTCTTTGGCTTGATTTGGTAAATATGTAACTCTGTTGTTCATTTTCTACATTCTTGAGCAACTTGTTTGCCATTTTTTGTGGATATGAATCTTGGGTATGTCAGTCAGAAATTGAAAAAATTGGACAATATAGCTGTTTATACCAGGCGTTTTAAGTATGAGTGTTGAGGATGGTTGGTGTGAGATCCCACGTTGGTTCGGGAGGAGAACGAAGCATTCTTTATAAGGGTGTGGAAACCTCTTACTACCACGCCTTAGTAGATGCATTTTGAAAACCTTGAAAGGAAAGTTCAAGAGGACAATATTTGCTAGTGGTGGGTTTGAGACGTTACAAATGGTATCAGAGCTAGACACTGGGCGATGTGCCACCGAGGAGGATGAACCCTGGAGGGGGTGGACGCGAGGCAGTGTGCTAGCAAGGATGCTGGGTTCCGAAGGGGGTGAATTTGTGAGACCCCACATCAGTTGGGAAGGAGAATGAAACGTTCGGTGTGGAAACCTCTCCCTAGCAAATGTGTTTTAAAAACCTTGAAGGGAAAGCCTAAGAGGACAATATCTACTAGCGGTGGATTTGGGCCGTTATAAATGGTATCAGAGTTAGACACCAGGCGATGTGCCAGCGAGGAGGCTAAGCCTCGAGGTGGTGGACACGAGGCGGTGTGCTAGCAAGAACACTGGACCCCGAAAGGGGGTGGATTGTGAGATCCTACATCGGTTGGGGAGGAGAATGAAACATTCCTTATGAGGGTGTGGAAACCTTTCCCTAGCATATGCGTTTTAAAAACTTGAGAGAAAACCCAAAAGGGAAAGCCGAAAAGGACAATATTTGCTAGCGATAGGCTTGAGCCGTTACAAATGGTATCAGAGAGAGACACCGGGTGATGTGCCAGCGAGGAAGCTGAACTCCGAAGGAGGTGGACGCGAGGCAGTGTGCCAGTAAGGACGCTGGGCCTCAAAAGGGGGTGGATCAAGGGGTCCCACATCGATTGAAGAAGGGAACGAGTATTAGCGAAGACGCTAGGCCTCGAGGGGTGGATTATGAGATCTCACATTAGTTGATGAGGAGAACAAAACATTCTTTATAAGGGTGTAGAAACGTCTCTTTAGCATACGCATTTTAAAAACCTTGAGGGGAAACCCGAACAGGAAAACCCAAAGAGGACCGCCCAAAGAAGACAATATCTAGTAGTAGTGAGCTTGGGCCGTTGCAGTTCATCGGCTAATTAAGAGGATGATCATGAGCTTATAAGTAAGGAATACATCTCCATTGGTACGAGATCATTTTGGGAAACCAAAAGCTAAGCCACGAGAGCTTATACTCAGAGTGAACAATATCATACCATTGTGGAGTTCGTGATTCCTAACATTTAGAAGTAACATCACATGAACGAACGTTCAAAGTAGACAATTATATAATCGTAGAGATCCAAATTGATTCACTTTTTTATTTTAAATCGAACAAAAGTTATGATTATCTAGCTGTTGTGAAGTCTTTGTTCTTGGTGTTTTAGCAGATAAACAAGATTGTTTTGGTCATGGAAGTGATAGCAACTGTATAGTACTCCACAAAGTAAACGAGTCAGATAACAAACTTGGAGCTGGTGAAAAATTCCCATCAGAGCGTTTTAAGCCATACGTCGATCCAGATTTGTACGTTGTGGAGAAGGAACGCTATCTCGGTTCATTATGCGAGGTTCATGATTCATCAAATCCATGGAGTTTCTGGATGATTATGCTAAAAAATGGAAATTTTGACAAGAACTCGACTCTCTGCTCTGAAAATGGTAAGAACGTTCGTAAAATTATAACCGATCGAACGTTCCCGTGTTTCGGGGAAGGTTGTATGAACCAGCCTCTTGTTTATCATAACTACTCGAGATTAGTGTCGTTCGACAAACGAATGGTTTCGTTAACAGGCGGTTTCTATGGAACTTATGAACTAGATGCTGATCTGAGTAATGGTATAGGGAAGAACTCTTACTTTTCAGTCTCTTGGCACAAGAATGTTAGTTCAGGGAGCTGGATATTCTCGAACCGATTAACGACGTCTTCGAAATATCCTTGGCTTATGCTCTACCTTCGATCCGATGCCACCATGGGTTTCAACGGTGGATATCACTACGACGGTCGGGGCATTATGAGAAAGGTGTGTCATCCGTCCTCTATTGATCTATTTTGTGTTCACAACAACAAAAAAAAAAAAAATAAAAATTGAAAAGCTAAGTGCTTAAAGTTTCTCCGTTCAAAAGCTCTCTCCCGTCGGTTAGTTGAACACTACTCTCCACAATAGTACGAGATTGTCCACTTTGAGCATAAGCTCTCATGGCTTTGCTTTGGGCCTCATACCAATGGAGATAGTATTCCTTGATTATAAACGGTGAGACTTTCATCCAACACCTCCCCTCGAACAAAGTACGCCTCCCCTTAATCGAGGCTCGACTCCTTTTCTTTTGGAGTCTAGTCATGTTTTACTATGCCTTCGAGACTCACAATACTTCTGTTCGACATTTGAGGATTCCATTGACATGGCTAAGTTTAGGGGATGACTTTGATACCATGTTAGTTGAACACGACTCTCCACAACGGTATGATATTGTCCACTTTGAGCATAAGCTCTCGTGGCTTTGCTTTGGGCTTCCTCAAAAGGCCTCATACCGATGGAGATAGTATTCCTTGATTATAAATGGTGAGACTTTCATTCAACACCTCTTCTCGAACAAAGTACGCCTCCCCTTAATCGAGCCTCGACTCCTTTTCTTTTGGAGTCTTAGTCATGTTTTACTATGCCTTCGAGGCTCGATACTTTTGTTTGACATTTGAGGAATCTATTGACATTGTTAAATTTAGGGCATGACTCTGATACCATGTTAGTTGAACACGACTCTCCATAATGGTACGATATTGTCCGCTTAGAGCATAATCTCTCATGGCTTTGCTTTGGGCCTCGTACCAATAGAGATAGTATTCCTTGATTATAAACGGTGGGACTTTCATCCAACACCCTCAAGTTGTTATTCCTTATTTGTTTCGACATATTTCGATCGTGGGTCATTTCCAACATACTTCGTGTTTGATGTCTATTGTATAATTTTGAGTTCAAATTTTCAGTTGCCCGAGTCGCCGAATTTCAAAGTGAGGTTAACGCTCGACGTTAAAAGTGGAGGCGGAAAAAATAGCCAATTCTATCTCATCGACATAGGAAGTTGTTGGAAGAACAATGGAGATGCTTGCAATGGCGACACTACGACCGACGTAACTCGATACAGTGAAATGATTATCAACCCGGAAACTACGAGCTGGTGCAGGCCGAGCAATCTCGTGTCGTGTCCACCTTATCATGTTCGAGCTTCGGGTGAGAAGATATATAGGAATGAGACATCAAGATTTCCATATTCAGCTTATCATTTGTACTGCAGCCCTGGAAATGGTATGCATTTGGAGAAACCATATGATATTTGTGATCCATATAGCAACCCACAGGCTCAAGAGTTGATACAAATTCTACCACATCCTGAATGGGGTGTACATGGCTATCCAATGAAGCAAGGAGATGGATGGATTGGAGATCCAAGAACTTGGGAGCTCGACGTCGGAGCTTTGTCGAACCGCTTATACTTCTACCAGGTAAATCTTCTTTTTTGGCTCGATATCGCTCGACGTTTCTTCTCGTTCTGATGAACTGCAAGTTACGTATGATTCTAAAATTAGAGTTTGAAACTCGTTGTTTAATGAGTATCTTGTCGAGGTTAAATTAAAATTTTAGTCTAAGAACTTGCTAGTTTTGTCGATATAATCCGTCCCTAACTGGAATATAGTTCTCTTTAGACTTTCCCTTTCGAGCTTTCCGTCAAGTTTTTTAAAATGGGTCTGCTAGGAAGAGGTTTTCACACTCTTATAAAAAATGATTTGTTCCCCTCTCCAACCGATGTGGGATCTCACAATCTACCCCCTTCGGGTCTTAGCGTCCTCACTGACACTCGTTCCCCTCTCCAGTGTCCTTGTTGGCACTCGTTCCCCCTTCTTCAAGCCTATCGTCCTTGCTGGCACACTGCCCGATGTTTAGCTCTGATATTATTTGTAATAGCCCAAGCCCATCGTTAACATATATTGTTCTTTTTGGACTTTCCATTTCGAGCTTCCTCTTAGGTTTTTAAAATGCAGATATTGTCGTTTTTGAACTTTCTCTTTCGAGCTTCCCTGGAAGGTTTTTAAAACGCGTTATCCTCTTTGGGCTTTCCTGTTCGGACTTCCCCCAAGGTTTTTAAAACGCGTTTACTGGGGAGAGGTTTCCACATCCTAATAAAAAATATTTCATTCCCCTCTCCAACCGACGTTGGATCTCACAATCCACCCCCTTTGGAGTCCAACTAGGGCTTTCCTTTTCAAGCTTCCCCTCAAGGTTTTTAAAACACGTATGCTAGGGAGAAGTTTCCACCCCCTTATAAAAAATGTTTCATTCTCTTCTCCACTCGACGTGGGATCCCACAATCCACCCCCTTTAGGGTCTAGCGTCCTCGCTGGCACTCGTTCCCCTCTCCAATCAACATGGGACCTCACAATCCACCCCCTTCGGGGCCAGCGTCCTCACTGACACATCCACATCGCTCCATGTCTAGCTCTGATACCATTTGTAACAACCCAAGCCCACTGCTATCTGATATTGTCCTCTTTGAGTTTTCCCTTTCGAACTTTCCCTTATGATTTCTAGAAAGAGATTTCAACCCCTTTATAAAAACCGCTTCGTTCCCCTCTCCAACCGATATGAGATCTCACATCTATTGAACTAATGATGTCTAGTATAGTATTTGAAAGCGAGAATTTATAGCTTATAAACGAAAAAAACAACTATCAATTAGTCCCCATGTCAAATCTCAATGTTATTCATTACAATTCGACATGAACTTTGATGCTCATATGAAATTCGATTAGAAACCGAGTTCTTCTTGTCGATGTAGGATCCGGGAACGAAGCCAGCAAGGCGGATATGGACGTCGATCAATGTCGGTACAGAAATATATATCAGTGAAGGATCAACAGCAGAGTGGAGTGTAAGTGATTTTGATGTTATTGTTCCACCAGATGCTAGGGATGCCAATTGCTGCTCTTCTTCTCTTCTAATGTAACATATCTAATGTCATCTTCCTCCATTGATATCGTTTAAAACTACTTACCATTTTCGGAGCGGTTTGGTTTAAGATTTTATTTATAATGCCCGAGAATGTCGGGAAATCAAATGGATGCGTGAAATGTTATCAAAATTTTATATAAATAAAATATTTTAAGTCAAATGCTTAGAAAAATTCCACAAATTCAAGAAAAATGTAAAAATAAAGAGCGAAAAATTAGAAAAAATTGTCAAAGTCAATCGAGAGGGGTAAATTGGTCATTTTGACCCCTTTGTCTAATCTCGGGTTTGCATTAGCTCCAATTAAATGGTAAATGATGAAGGAAAAGAAAGAAAGAAAAGAAAAGAATGAGAGAAAAAGGAAATGGGGTTTAGGGTTCTCTCGAGAGAGTTAGTGAGAAAGTCGAAATCCGCTCCCAACAGCCATTTGTAGTTGAAATATTGCCCTTGTCACAACCGCACTTTGATGGCAGCGGATTTGCGTTTGTGCGGCACTCACTTCCCAGCAACAAGTGAGTTAAGCCTATTCGTTCTTGTATCGCTTATGGCCAAGCGACGTATGCTCGAGCCTCTAACCCCGATTCAAGAAGAAATTTTTAGAAAACGGGGGCAGAGAGATTTCAAAATGATCGTAGGACTACTGCATATAACTATCGGGTAGGGAGATAGTGTTCTGTATTTATAAATCAATGATCGGAGGATTACTCCTTTCCATAATCCTCAACAAACAATTCAGTACGTTCAAAATTAGAGATATCCGACCTCATGAGAACCAGAAGAGAGAAAGCCAGAAGAGATTTCTCCCTATCAGCTAAACATGGACAAAGACTTCCTCATTAACATCTCTGTCAAATCCTCGCCTCACCTCTATCCACTCACTTTATATAGGTATATAAATACATACATACATACATACAAACATATATATATATACATACATACAAACATACATATACATATATGACAAACATACATACATATACATACATAAAGATACATACATACATACATACATACATATATATAGATACATACATATATATATATATATATATATTTGTTTATATAATAATTTTAGATTTATTAGGATATTTTATATATTTTTTTAAGAAAAATAGAAATTATCCATTAAAAAATTTAATATATAATAAAAATGGACACGTTTTAATATATATATTTGTTTTTATAATATTTATTTTTCCTTATTACTATTCTAAAGTATTTGACCATTATATAAAGGTTTGGGTACTAATTTACGTTAGCTGCCCGTTACCGCTGACCCAACTCCCTCCAATCCACATTTAGGAAAGAACTTGACGAAAAATCCGCCATTATCAACCTTTCCCGGTTTCCTTCTGAAGAAATCCCAACCAATTCATTCTCCTCCAAGACCTTGCAGAGATCGGGGAAGGGATGTCTCGATCTCAAAGCTCCAGATCTCTGCAATTCCTCTCCTTCCTTTTCTCTCTTTCTCTCCATTCTCTTTCAGGTACAAATCCCTCTTTTCGCTTTTCAACTTCTCTGAATCCGGTAGCTAAATCGGGATGAATTTCTTGATGATTTGTAGCTATGATGATTGTTTGTCGCTTTTTCTATTGAATTTTTTTGTCTCAATACTCGATGATTTTTGCATTTGCGGTAGCATTATTCTGCGTAATGACTTAGGGAATTGTTTTGTTTTTTTTAATGATATATCGCATTTGAATAGAAATAATCAAAGAGAGATGAATCGAGAATTTCATTGCAATTTCTTCGAAGATTACTTCACTTTTCCCCATTTTTTTTGCCTCTTTGTTCTGTATTCGTGTTTCTTGAGGAGACATTGAAATCCTGATAATTTAATTCCAATTTGAATGTGTTTTGTAGACCTCGAATTCTCGTTGAATGAACAGAGGAGTTTTCTGGTTTTTGGTTTTTGTTGTGTTTATAGTGTTGGCAGATGAGCATTCAAGTGCTGAAAATGGTGATGGTAAAGCTAAAAAGGGCGATGGTTGGAGGAGCCGATCGATGGGGATCAAGATAGTACTCATATGTCTAGGAGTGGTAACTGTGATTGCCTTTTCTGTGATTCTATGCAAGATATGGCAAAGGAAGAAAAGAGAAGAACAACATGCCCGTCTTCTCAAGCTGTTTGAAGATGATGATGAACTCGAACTCGAACTCGGCCTTCGAGATTGAGCTCCACGATACTCATCCGTCCATTCTCAATGTTCGACTAACTAAGAGGAGGTGCACATTGTTGATTCCTTTGCCTTTTGTTTAATGATGTATACAAGCTTTTTGATCTTATCCTATTTTGTTTCTGGATGAGCTGAGCTCGTTAAATCATAGCAAATTTTTTCGTGTCAACTAGTTTTGAATAAGTTGTTTCTCCTTCAATCTTTCATGATATCTGAGGCATGTCTCAAATATCAGTCATTGTTTAGTGAATTGGTTCCATTGGTAAATACATGTTCAATTTTTCTATGGGCTGAGTAATTGTGATTCAGAGTATATGCTGTTGAGCTAGCCATGTTCTGAAGAATGAGAAGATTTTCATTTTCAAAATGGATGTATATAATGTAGCGAGCGATATTATAGATTTCCATTGTTTGAGAACTTTGATTTTCATGCCCACCGTTAGCAGAAATTGTCCATTTTAGGCTTTCCCTTGAGGGGGCTTTCGGGCTTCCCCTCAAGGTTTTTAAAACACGTTACTAGGGAGAGGTTTCTACACCCTTATTAAGATTGCTTTGTTCTCCTCCCTAACAGATGTAGGATCTTACAACCCACCCCCTTCGGGGTCTAGCATCCTTGCTAGCACTCGTTCCCTTCTCCAATTGATGTGGGACCCCCCAATCCACCCCTCTTCGGGATCCAGTGTCCTTGTGTTGACACACTGCCTCGTGTCCACCCCCTTTTGGGGCTAGTGTCTAACTCTGGCACCATTTGTAACAGCTTAAGTTCACAGTGAGCAAATATTGTCCTTTATAGACTTTCCCTTTTGAGCTTCACTGCTAGTAAATATTGTCTTTTTTGGGCTTTCCCTTTCGAGCTTCATGATCAAGATTCAAGACATTTGATTCTGAAGAAAAATTTGAATTTCACTATTTCGGTATCATTGATAGTAATAAATAGTTACAACGGTGTGAACCGAAACTTTAGAGATGTAAACCTGTTAGATAACATTAGTTACCTTTTGATGCAGAGCTTGTAAAGCTATTACAGATATAAGCCAATAGGAGGCTGCCAAGTTAGAGTTTCATGATACTTTGTCAAACTTACACCAAATTGTATTTTCTTATGCGTTGAAGAAGGACGCTCCATTGATGAGAAACTGTCAAAGCCATCTGATTTTTGTTTTCTATTGACACTAAGTTTGTAGCCTTCAGATATCTATTAGTATAAGAAAAGTCTGAGGAGGTTGGTTTGAAAGTTGAAAACTTCAAACCTACCAAATAGATTTCCTTTTGAAAGTAATATATTTTGACCTCTGACTTTTCTGAACATGTAAAGCTTTTCTGCAGAAGAAATTTTCAGCCAAGAAGTTTGGTCCTTTGTGAAGCAGGTACTGATGACTTTAAAGCTTAGTTCATATGATTGTTCTTAGGTAAAAAAATATTCTTGGATCTTTTATGCTCATTCATGTAACAAATAACTTTAGATTTGTAATAATTTAATATTTTTACTATCTTTGTAGCTTATAAACATATTTGATTTCTAGTTAGGTCTAAAATACATATTTATGTTGGATGATAGTCCCACGTACTAATTTAGGGAATGATCATGGGTTTATAATCAAAGAATACTATGTCGATTGGTTTGAGGCCTTTTGAGGAAGCCCAAAGCAAAGTCATGAGAGTTTATGTTTAAAGTGGACAATATCGTACCATTGTGGAGAGTCGTGTTCAACTAACATGGTATCAGAGCCATGCCCTAAACTTAGCCATGTCAATAGAATCCTCAAATGTCGAACAAAGGACTCCAAAAGAAAAGGAGTCGAGCCTTCTTGAAGGCATAGTCAAAAAATGACTTAACACTCCAAAAGAAAAGGAGTTGAGCCTCGATTAAGGGGAGACGTACTTTGTTCGAGTCAAAAAATGACTAACACTCCAAAAGAAAAGGAGTTGAGCCTTGATTAAGGGGAGGCGTACTTTGTTTGAGGGGAGCTGTTGGATGAAAGTCCCACATCGGCTAATTTAGGGAATGATCATGAGTTTTTTTTAGGCCTTTTGGGGAAGCCCAAAGCAAAAGCCATAAGAGCTTATGCTCAAAGTGAACAATATCATACCATTGTGGAGAGTCGTGTTCAACTAACCATTTACATATTTAGGAAGCTTAGAAGTTTAGAATCTTGATGGTTACAAAATTGAAAATACGAGAACTAAATTATCACATTACTAAGTTTCTTCTTCTACAAAGTTTAGATCAAAAGTATCTTTATCCACGTTCATATGACTTAATATATGTTTGATGGAAATGCCATTGGTATGAGATTTTTAAAATGCATTTTGTCCAAGTTATTTCTGTTGTGCCAGATAGAAAGATTGGATTTTATGATCTATGATTGATAGATATTATTCCCATTGAGATTGCATCTATGTTTTCAAAAATGTGTTATGTACTCCAAATGATTGATGGACGAGCTTGGATGTATACTTAGAGAATGAAATCTTTATTCTAGGTGATGGATAGTATTATGGTTGTATTGAGGTAAGAATAGGACACTAAAGCCAGGATGATTTTATGTTGACTTACATTAGCGCTATTTAGACGACCAAGGTTGAATCTAGTAGTGACTCTTCCAAGTTGTTAGTACTTAGGAACCTGTGTCGTCGAGCTTGACCAAGGCCAGATAGCATAGTGTGTTGAGGATATTTGAGGAGTTATTATCGTGTGTAGAAATGGATAAAGAGGATCAAGGTCTCCACTCTTCAAATTGGTTTTGTGAGAGAGTTAGGAACTACACAAGTAGTTTAGCTCATGATGATTATGGGCAGAGGTCTTTGTGAGGAACCATGCAAGTAACTTAGTAATTGGAAAGCCGAGTGACCCCCTCTCCCAAATTTAGTGCGACTTTCGAGTCTTATTGAAGGGTTTGTGAGTTAACATTGCATAGATGATGTATTAGTAAATGTTATATTGTCCTATAAAATATGATGAGCTAGCAGATCGAGCTAAGATACTGGTCATTCACTATTGTGGTCATGCAAGCCGTCTAAGTCAGAACAATAAAGATAGATCATCCTAGAGATAAGTTACGTCATCCAATAGACCCGCAATGCTAAAAATGGGTGAACACCGTCTAGATCTAAGTCGTCTAGATCTAAGTAAGTGGTCTTACTATCAGATAAGTTGGATGACTTGTTTAATGTACGATGACACGTGCCTAGTGGCTCTTGCAAGTGTCATTTATTCCTTATATTTATGATGTTGTGACTATATTGTATGATGATGATGTATGATGTATGATGTTATTCTGTGATGTGATGATGTTATACAAAGTTATATGATACATTACAAGACAGGGTAAGTTTATGATATGACATATGTCTGATATGATGAGATATATGATATGATGTGACTGACAAGCAATGTGATGAATTGGCATAATGCACAATCTCGATATACACATGAAAAGTTATGATAGAATAATATGATATAAAGGAAAATGCTAGAGGGTTGTTATATATTATAATGAAAGGAAAAATATTGGGACCTCATGTATCATTGTGTGTTATTGCATCGGGAATACCCCTACATCTTTTATGATGGTACGAACGCGTACACTACAAGGCAAGGAGACGATCATTATATTTGTTCTAATGCTACGAAGGTCACTATTCCTAACAGGTGTTCGACATCAACAACTCCCAGATAATACTCGCGTGACAAGGGGCCAAAGAGTTATGCAAACCGACTGGTGGGTTCATACTCGTACCTGTAGACCGTATTGAACAGTAAATACACGTCAAATTAACCCGCTTAGGATAGTCGCTTAAGAAATATAGACTGATATGGTAGGTTCCACTCATGATTGTGCTTGCATCTAACTACAATAACGGAAAAAAAAAGTTCAACCATTGAAAGTATAAGATATAACGGGAAAAAAAGTCATTATCAATGTTCAAATGGCGATTTTAAAAACAAAAGTAACTATAGTTTGAATGTTTAATTAGAAGTTCAATACTTTAAATTTAAAAGTCAATAAGAGTTTATTACACTCCATATAGTGTGAGTTATTATTTTTAATTTTTTAACATAATTGCTTAATCCATTACTTTTTAACCTAATTTGTGCCCATCCTAGATTTCACTGATTAGAGTCACTACCGTCATCCTAACTTAATCATTTTGTAAAGGAAATAAGTGTTTAAACTTTGTATTTTGTCATAAAATATAGACTTCATCTTAAAATACTGCAATAAAGTTACGCGCTCGAAAACATTCTAATCTAACTCTGAGAAAGTTAAAACAAACTACAAGAGAAAGTTAAAACAAACTACAACTACCCCTCGCATGTATCATGGTCTTAGATAGCTATGTCGTTAGTCAGATGGTGGTGTGTTTCCTTTACATGAAATAGCAGTAGCACGTGACTTAAATATTATAAAAAATACTCAGTAATTGACCCCACTATTGGGGTTAGATGCAAATACATATAATCATGTGTAGGACCTATCGTATCAGTCTATATTCCTTAGGCGACTATACTAAACGAGTTAATTACAAATGGCCCATACGTGCGAGTGTGAACCCACCAGTCGGTTCGCAAACCTCCTAGGCTCCTTTTATGGTTGGGCGAGTATTCTCTAGAATTGCTGATGTCGGATATCCGTTAGGGCATAACGATCGTCGTAGCATTATGATAAACATAATGGTCATTTTTCTGCCTCGTAGTGTACGCATTCGTACCATTGTAAAAGAGGGGTATTTCCTTATGCATGAGATCCCAATATTTTTATTCATTATCATGTAAGACAACCCCTTCCATTTTTCCTTCATATCGTATCATTTTTATCGTAGCTTTCCTTACATAAATTGGGGTTGTGCATTATGTCGACACATTTTTGTTGTATATCATTCATATCATGCATCGTGTCATATCATGTTATATCATACATACATCATATCATCAACATATCATGTACTATATCGCCAAACGTGTTATACCATAACATTTATCATATCATCAATACATCATCATATCACGTGTCATAGCATTCACGGATCATCTCATAGTCATGTTGTATCAAGAATATACACATCACAGTCATATGGTTACATAAACATAACCTAGTCATATTATTTTATAAACATATCATGGTCATATCATTTCATAAACGTATCATAGTCATATAATTTCATAAACATATTCTTATCATATTGTTTCATAAATATATCATAGTCATCTCGTTCATATACATATCTTAGACATATCATTTCATATACATATCCTAGTCATAGTGTTTTATAAACATATCATAG